CGCAGGCGGCTCGCACAGGACACTGGAAGGGGCAGCATCCATGGCGCTTTGGTAGGTGTGACGAGTGGGGGCGGGGCCGAGAGCCGTGGGAACGGAGCGAGGCCGGTGGAGTGATTGCTAATGAGGGACACCTGCACCCACTCACCGGTCTCGAGTCTCACGGAGGAGCTCCGGAAGGATAAAGGAGGAGTGACTACAGTGTTGGACCAGGACTGGATTTTATTTTGTGTTTTGGTTTCGTTTGTGCGCGACAGTCGTCCGCGAGGGGCTGTCGCGCTATTTTTGTGTTTATTTTAGTATTAACGTTTCTTTGAATGTTCGCCGGTTCCCGCCTCCTTCTTCCCGTGACTACAAAGTTTGTTACAATGATGTATGTGGCTCTGTGGAAAGATGAAGCTAGTTGATATACAGCATACGTATAGACAAAGAAGCACAAGTATACCTCTAATGAGGATCTTTTGAATCACTATCAGCAGAATTGTAATCACAATCATGGTCATGATGTTCATTGTTGCCAGAACTAAAGTAATTGGGTTCCACATGAACTGTAAATCTGAAATAGTGACATAGATGTGAGATTCCATGTGCTACAATAAATACATAAAATACATAACATTCAACTTATGACCAAAGACATTGCGGTACTAAAAATTATTTCTACCAAATCAAATATTACCTTCAATAATTAACTTAGTTCCATTTCCAAAGTGTATCTTCCCACATGTGGCAACAGCACAGTAATAAATCCCAGCATCAGATGGTCTGAGTTCAGTCTGAGAGAGACTGTAGACACAGCTCTGGGTAGAAAAGCCGTTCTCTGATCTCTCCATACACTGATCACTCCTGTTATCACGGGTGTAAATGAGTCCTGGATGAGAATGTCCTGATGAATGTCTGAACCAGTAGACGCTGTATTCTCCTGCACAGATCTGACTGATGACCGAACACTGCAGAGTCACTGAATCTCCTGGATGAAGTCTGTCAGATACAGGCTGCTGGAGAACAGTGGTGCTTCTTATTCCGTCACTCTCTGAAAGAAAAATGTAACATTCTGTACATACATTAAAACAACACACATATGTGAAGTCAGATTGTGGGTAAAGCTCAGAATATTGTCATAAACTCACCTTTATGTAGAAGAATCGTTCCTTCTCCAAATTTAATAATGTTCAAGAAGCTCACAGCACAATAGTTGGTTGCAAAATCATATTCTTCGAAGTGTATGATGGTCAAATTAAAAGAGCCAGTTCCAGTTCTGATACAGTATTTATCTGTATTGTTAAAGCCATTTTGATATGTAACACTTCCAGAGCCATG